GAATGGGATTTGGGGAGAAGTATAATGATTTTTTTTGTTGTGCTTGTGTCTAAGGTCTTTTCCATCGATGGCAGGCAGCCCCCTGAGAGCAGTGATGGGAAGGGGCTGCAGCCCTGCATTGCTGGCTTCCTTAGACTCTATATCACTTCAGAATCTCTCTCTGGTTCGTAAAGAAAGTTAGTAGTTTATGATGACTGTCATAACTAAGCTTAAGCTCCATTGCAACAGACACGTAGGTGTAAATTCATTGCTTGAGGAAGTGCTGAGATTTCGGCAATACAGGTGCTCATTCCTCATAAACCTGTCCAGATACCACTGCATTCGCAGATGTTAATTTTCATTCCATGTCAACGCAGACATTTATGATGTACTGTCTGTGGTCGGGGACTGTAACTAGAGCTGCCTAGCACTATTTTTACTGCGGAGCTATTTTTAACAGAATTTATGCATTTTAAAGTTTCTTGCATATTTTTGTTTTTCAGAAGCATCAATTCTATTTAAGTCAAATTCTGCCTGATATTTTGTGCCACAGATATCTAGACACCTTTAGTATACCTTATTTCTTTTTTTCTCGTTGGCAGACAATTGTCCTCATGTTCTGTTACTGTTTTTAAAAATTAGAAACATTGGCTCTAAAAGATTTAGAGATAATTTAAATGGATCTGTTGCTGTCTTTTAGTGTGTGTTCATCCAGACAAAAGGTTGCCTGGATTCTGAATTACACTGCTTGGGCCCTGCACCGTCCTTGGCAATGCAGAGAAACAACTTAGCAGAAGAACTAAAATTTGAAGAACCCCAGATTTTACTTTCAGATACAGACATAGAACTTCCACAGGTTTCAGGAGGAGCAAGACACCAGCACTTCAGGGCAGAAGTTCATTTCAGACATGGTAGATTGTTGTGTAAAGAATTGGAATTTATATATGATGCATATTGCAAGGACGTGCCACTTTTAAGAGTGTGTTCTGAAAATGAAAGAAGAATTTTGAGATTACTTGTTTCTGAAACAAGTATTTTAATTATTTTGCTTTGGAAATGCATTTTTCCTTTGGAATGTCAAAGGATTAATATGGTTAGATAGAACCACTGCAGAAATGAAAACTGCAGTGCAACTAGATTACTTGGACTTAATTTAATATATAGTATTGCACACGTAGAAGATAGTAATTATGAATTATGCCTGAGCCTGGGGAATCCAGAAGGACTGTGGGGCCTTGGAAAAAGAGTTTGCCAGTTACTGTAGGTCATAAGAATGAAACAGTGCCAGAAATCTTAGTCAATGTTTTAATTGCTTTTAGAGGTGGTTTCAGGATCAAACTGGCCCATTTCTGCGTTTCCAGAAGTGCATTATCTCAGTGCAGGTTTGAACGGTGCTGCTGGGGGCAGCCACGCACCCAGCCTGAGCCCACACCTGCTGCCAGACCCAGCCTTTTCTGGTGTCTTGCCAACACTCCATTAATTAACCAAAATGTCAACAATTTGTTAAAAACCTTCCTTTTTGAATGTTTCTCAAAAGCTAAAATGCAAGTAGGGTGGTTTCTTGTTTTTACAGTGTAGCTGTACCGGCACCTCATTGTGAGAAAGCTGCAATGGTACATGACAAAGGAAGTACTGTGTGTTGCTGCCCCTCAGAATACTTTCATACCTGCATATTTCAGATGGAATTGAGGCATAAATAAAGTTGCTGTTTCAGAAGTGCAAAGTTTCTGTCAACTCCAGACACAGTGCATTTTAAGAAATTTGGCCTGAGGTCCCAAAACACAAAGGGATACTTCTAAAATGTTCTGTCTGGAGCACTGCGGCCCCATCAGCGCGGCGCTGTGCTGCTGCCATTCCTTTCATGTTCTGAAAGGACAGGAAGAACCCTTGGCCGAGATGTCCTGCTCATTGAAACAGCTCCTTCAAAATGCAGCCCTGGAAGCATCTTACTTTGGGTGAAAATGTCCAGCACTTTGAAAGTACTAAACTGAATAAAGTTCCGTGTACTTCATTTACGCATTGGCTTTGCCAAGCAGCATATTTTAAATAGGAGGAATATAATCTAAACCTACACAAAATTATGGATTCTAGATGGATTCTTCATTTTACAATGCACAACTGAAAGAATAATAATAAAAAAATAATAATTTTTGTACTCTTGTAACCCTTGTACTCTGTAAGGGTTAGGCATCGTAAATATGAGCTTGCTTTGGGGTTGTCATCTTCTCATCACAGATGCTCATTGCTGTCTTTTTGGAGATTTATAATTAAGCTATATGTGTTTGTGACAAAAATAGTAATGGAATTAAAGTGTAGAAAATAGGTTGTGCTTTCAGGGAATAAATAGAAAATAAGGATCTACAGAAACCCCTATGCTAAAGTTTCACTTTTGATTGTACAGGGTCATGATTTTTCCTCTGAGTAATATCTGTATTTTGTGCCTGAAGGATGTGCTAAAAAGCCAGAGAGGCCAAGAGAAAGTGCCTGGCACTCGCAGCTCTTCTGAGAGAGGCTCAAGGATTTCATTTTCCGGGGGGCTGAGCAGTTGGAGGTGTAAAACTGTAAAATTTTGTTCATCAAGAATTTAGGCGGGGTCAATAAACGATGTATAGCTGTCAGCTAGTATATATGTAGAGTATAGTATAAGTTTAAGCCTTGGCAATTCATAAACTGTAGTAAATTTGACTAGTTGCACCTTGTAGTTAACTCTTCCAAAAGGCATTTAAAACCAAAAATGAGTATAATCTGCATAAAGAATAAAGCAAAGAGGTTTCGCCAACCAGGTCACACTCTCAAATTTTTACTCAAAATTTTATTTTGTTATTAAACTTTCATGAAGGAAATGGAGGAAGGACAGCTGAGTTGGGACTTTTAAAGTAGCAGGGACGTTACAGAGTTAGCCTTTTCTTCTGATTGTGGCTTGATCTCCTCAGTGTTTAGCATATTTGTCAGCCCTTTGTCCTGCTTTAAAGCAACGGGGCTCTGTCCTGTGGGCCACTTTCAGTAAGTTTAAAAACAGAAATTGTAGCTATATAAAAATCATCTTAGAAGGGGCGGGTGTCACTATTTTTTGGCAACAGCAGTGAATATTTTGATATTTTTATTCATACACTGTCTGCAGTTGGTATGAACGGGGTGTCCGGGAAATGGGTTGTGAGCCAGAAATACTGGTACACAAGAGCACAGGCTCAAGGCTCAGGAAAGGGAAAACAAGAAGCAACAAAACTTCACAATAGACTGTCAGAAAACACGTGCCAAAAAAAGGGGAAAGGCGTTCCAAAAAGAAACCCTTCAGGCTGGGTTCTTTGCTGATGCAAACTGATGTCGTTCCGCTGTAATTGAGCGTAGTGACCTTAATTTATGCCGGTTCAGGTTCTGTCCCTTCACCTTTGGGATATGTGCTATAAATGGCTTCCTTAAAACTGTGACCTCTCTCCCTGAGCTGGGTGGGTGGTTGGTGTGGCAGAACTGCCTGTGCTGCTGCAGTGTCACAGATGTACGGATGCCTGTGTCTATTGTGGGAATGGAGCTTTGCCTTCTCAGCTTGGCACTGGAAAGGCTTCTGGTCCCACCCTTCCAATGTAGTTTGGTGGCTCGTGGTCCTATTTTCAGGGAGGCTTTTTTTGTTGGGTTTTTTGTTTTGTTTTGCTTTTTTTGTTTTTGTTAGAGGCTTTGTTGAGGCAAACAATATTTCAATGTACTTGGAGATCTTGGAAGGGTGGGCGAACAAAGCACAGATGGCTGTTTGGCCAGAAACAGTGTTTATTCTAGAAAATTTGTTACGGTGATTGTATGAGAAGATAAAGTAGTCCGTGAACCTTCCCCCAGGCATGTCTTTGGTACAGTTTATAGCCCACTTGGAAACTCTTGACTTTGACATTTCACTGATCCAATTAAAATCATCTTCATCTATAGATGGTGGACACAAAGCAAGGACTCCCCAGGGGCCTTTGGTGTGGCTTTCACTGCAAAGATGACCAATATATACAAATTCAAGAGAACTGACTTGGGGTTGCAACAAGAGCTCTCAGTGATTCTCTTGCTGTTCCCTTCAAAAACAGTTATTTGGGCATGCTGCTGTTGTGTAATACTGTCCCTAGTTTTCCCTTGAAATCTGTCTTCTGTAGAAAAAATATTTTGCTGTTCTAGTCCAGTTCTTCGTGTGGTTCTACAGTTTTTGAATAGTGTTTTTAATAGTCATTCTGATCATCTAGAGGCTACCTAAAAAAATGCATCTGTGACCAAAGCTTGTCTGTTTTCTCCAAGCACAGAAATTGCTCTAATTAACCCCCTGCCTTTTTCTAGAAATCTTTCTCACCTTCATGTGTGCCCACGCACAGAGTAGTCTCTTGCTGTAACTGCTGTAGTGTGAAGATGCAGGCAGAACAAAGTAATTAAGTATTTAACTTGTATTTACTTTAGGAATCTGCTTCACATGTAAACAAGGCTTGTCTGCCAAAGCCTTGTATTGCAGGTGACCTAATAAAAGATGTTACTTCTATCTGTAAAACTTGCCCTACCTCAATGTGCATTTGTGTGTGTGTGTATTGAAGCAGAGGATGAGAATAAGAAGCTGGTGTAGCCAACTTTTACTAAGTTATGAAAGCATGTATGTTAAATGTTTCAACTATTGAATCTGAGCCCAGAAAATTAATAATGAAAAATGTGAAGCTATTGTGAAAAGGAAATTATTTGGATCTAATTTATTGAATTTATCTTGGAGTGTCGTCCTTCTGCTGAGGAAAATGATGGCTCAATAAAAAATTTGCTTTTTTGGTAGAATTGTTGCTCCATAAACTCCACAAATTAATTTATTTTTTTTCTACAAGCACTTTTGATACTGTTACTTAAAAGTACACTGTTTGTTACTTCTTTTAAAGAAAAGGAGTCTTCTGATGTTAATATTCACCTGGATTAGAATTTGGCAATGCCTTCATTAACCTTCTAAAGTGAATTAATAAGAAAGCAATAAGAACATTACTTGTTGATTATAATGTGACTGTTTTTTTTTATTTAAACAGGTGTGTCCTGAAAGCAGCAGAAATATCAGAGAGGTGCAATGTGCATCATACAATAACAAGCCATTTATGGGTCGATTTTATGAATGGGAACCTTTTGCAGAAGGTAAGGGAAGACAACTTAGTTTTGCATTATTATACAGATTGTGTTTTAGAAAGGTTTTAGATTTTTACCCAGTGGAAGCCATTAGGCTTTGACTGGGTGGGTCTTGCTCATTTTGCTCTGTTTGTCTGCTGCATTTATTCATGGGCAGACAAGTAGATAATCTCACATTAATATCTCTTATGTTTTACAGAAATGAAAGGATTTAAGTCCTACTTTGACTGATATATCATTGGCTCTGTGTAGTGTTGCAACAGTATTTCAGCTCCTGCCCTGTTAACTGTCTTCTTACATATTTATTTTTGATGACAAAAGCCTCCATATGGCTACATTTCAGTAAATGGAATTAATTTTTTTTAGCATGTGACTCATGGTCCTTATGCATTGGTTTCAGGACTCACTGGCTGTCTAATTTGTGTTTTCCAATGGTATGTTTGACAGTTGGGATGATGACTATGGGAGGGACACCCGTGCTGTGGAGTTCCCCATCTACACATTGAACTGGTTGTCCTGGAACACAAAGCAGCAGCTCTAGTAGTTGTCTGCCACCCCTCTCCAGCCCTAACCCCTGGAGGATAAAATCTTGGTCATTTGGGGGTCATAATCTCTCTCCAGAAACATGTTTTGTGAAATAGTTATTAATTTTGTTTTTCTTTCTGTAAACAAGAGCTGGGCCCACCTTAGTTGAGACTTGTGATTATTTATGAGGTAAATAATTTATTCCTCAAATGTGTCTCTGGATTTGCATGAATTTAGTTCATGTCTTAGTTTTTAAATTAACATGTTTTAAAAGTTGTTTTCCACAAAACTTCAAAGAGGATTTATGATAGAAAAATATGTATGCATGCTGTGGGCTAGCTGTCTTTAGTATTCTGATGCCCTTCTGGCACTGGGCGTGAGTCACTCGGAGGAGGGTGCGATGATGACTTCGTTACCCTCAGAGCCCTTCGCCAGTGGCTGTGCCATGGTCTGTGCCACGCTCTGTGCCAAGTCTCCCCTCCAAATGGAGGCACAATCTCACCTTAATATTTTAAAATGCAGGATATAGGCCAATCTACTTATCCTTCCTGGATTTGAGAAGAACAAAGTAGAAGGAAGAGAATTTGGTTGTATTTTTTAAGTGTCTCTTGAATATGGCTTTTATTGCCTCTGTGTAAGTAGCTACATAAAATACAATGCCACACGATTAAATAGAAGTAATATGTTATCCTGTGGCTTTTAATGTCTTACAGTCGGTGTTTGCAGGGATTTCTCTTTGCTGGAAGACTTCACTACAAATAAAGGTTTCAGTGTACTATGATTTATCTTTATGGCAATGCCCTGCCCTTGTGTGTCCTAAAATTGCAATAGTGGCAAGATTTACCTGATTACACACAGGGTCAGTCTTGGTGATCTGCTCTGGGGCAATTAGTGCTCTGTGTATTCTTTCCTTCAATCTTTAACTCATCGTGCTAAGTTGCTTTCCCAGCTCCAAAAGGCAGCCAAATAAGAGATTTGCAAAAGGAATGGGAAAGTTGCTTTCATGATGGAGGGATTCCTCCTGATTCTCATGTTTTTATTCCCCCTCCCTTCGTCCTAATATATTTAGAAGGAGAAAAGTGTGATAGATACTGGTGATTTTTTGCTGTTAATAAAGTGAGGTCTTGTGTATCCTGTAGTGTAGACCCCAATACTATGTTTTGAAGTGAAAGTAGTGAAAAGAGTGTCTGTGTGGGGCTGCAGGTGGGTGCTGAGTGGCAGAGGGCAAGTACTGCTGTCCCTGCACCGCTCTGGGGGACGGGGGGAGCCCCTTGCTGGTCTGTGTTGGGGGAATGGCTCCCCGAGCCAGGGCTGGGGTTCTGTGCCTTGCCTCGCTGCACAAAGGCAAAACGCCTGTTTTGTAACAGAAAAGACCCTTCCAAGGGTGTGCTGAAGGAAGCATTAGAAGTTGTCGTTCATTTATTTTTTCAGGGGACTCAAGGAGGTTGCAAATGTGTGAAGTTCCTTTTTCCTATGCTCAGAAATGGACATTTCTGTTGGGTACTTACCATGCTAGCATGCTCGCTGTAGGTCCTTTACCTGAGCAGCTTTGATCCACAATCGATGTTATCTATTTTTATAGCTCAACACGAGTCAGTGAAAGTTCAGGTAGGCTCATATCTAACTCCCAGTTGATCTAACAGTGCTTGTTGCTAATGTAGTCATGCCTCAGTCCTGGTTTTATCATAGAATCATAGAATAGTTAGAGTTGGAATGGACCTTAAAGATCACCTCCCACTAGACCAAGTTGCTCAAAGCCCCATCCAGCATGGCCTTTGGATGAGCTATGGGGAGTGGATAAAGTGAAGACTTGCAGAGCTATACCTCCTGATCTTTAATAAGGAATATTCAGTATATACTATGCTTTTAATTAAAGTCACATTTGGCATTGTGAGGTTTTCCAAAAGGAAGTTTCAGAGCTGTACAACTTTGGTACTTTGTACCATGCATTTAGGCAGAAAAAAGATGTTGGTAACCCCAGCAAGTGCATGGCTAAAGGCATTTTCTGCGGGCAGTATGACTTCTATAGCATGGCCCCAAAAACTTACGATGCATTAGATTTGATGCATCCTTTTTCAACTCGCTATTAACAAGACCCCACCAATGGTGGGCCAGCTCAGCCCACCTCCATCTCCTTGCTTCCTACACAGCAGCTCTGACTCACCCTGCCCTGTGCCAGGAAAGATGACTCAGGGGATCTAAAACATGCCACAGTCATTTCTTTTTCCCTCCCCTGCATAGCACAGCTTGCCTCTAATGTTTATGTTGGATCAATAAAGGCAGCTAAACCATAATTTACAGCCCTGTGTTGATGGTGAGTTAAGTGTAATTATTACTATTTTTTAAAAATACGCATGTCTTTATTTCTCCCTTGTTCAGGTTGGTGCAGCTGCCTTTCTAAACCCCTGTTTTATCTGCTACTGCTCCAACACAAACTTTTGTCTTTATTAAAAAAGCCATAATAAAGGGACTGTAAACCCTATGAATTTAGAGTATTTAATGAAAAACCCGTTTGTGTTGGAGAACCAATAGCACATAATGACTTTAAGGGCAGGGTTTGAGAGGAAGGATCCATTTGCAACATAGGGAAAACATCACAGTGACATGACCATAAAACCTGTAAGGAAGTTTAAATTTACAGAAGCAATGCTTTAATCATCTGATAATTGAACTCTTTAATTTGAACTCTTTATTTCAACTAGCTTTTATTTTTAATTGTGATGAAAAATTCATAACCTGAAGTCTTTGATATTTTGATGGGTGTATGAAAATAATCTATTGAAAGGAGAAAACCTATTGGTTCATTGAAGAGGACAATTCAGGGAAACTGATCACAGAAGTCTCTCTGTGAAGAATAACTGCATTTTTTGAGAGAAGGGAGACAACAGCTGATATTTTTGGTCAGAAATCCTACATAAGGTTAAAGAAGTGATACAGTTCTCTCCAAAAGAATCTCTATCTGAGACTTCATCTTCAGGAGGATACCTGGATAGTCTTATGCATCCAAAACACATTGTTAAGTATAATATTTTCAAGTCACCAACTGCAGAAAATCCTTGTCAACTGCAGGCCCTCTTGCTTGGGCAAGGGGAACCGCCGGCAGGGCTGCCCCTGCCTGCTTTGTGAGTGGAGGAGGACTTCAAAGTATAGGAGGAGCTCTGATTGCATTTCCAGTGTCTAAAATTTGAAATTGCTAAAAATGTATTCTTTGGGGACTTGCCTTTTTTCTTCCTTTTAAACATAGCAATTTACAAGGAGAAAAATACTGCAAAGTTTGAGCATTTTGTCCTGAGACAATTTCACTTTCTTAAAAAAAGAGGAAAAAAAGAAGTTTTTGCAAGTCATAGCCTGGTCGACTGGAAGTCAGACATGATTTGCCTCTAAAAGATACTGAGGCTTTGCCTCTTTCCCTTTTTCATGGAAATTATTCTATTTTCTGTTTTGGATTTATTTCATTTTGTTATTTTAGAGCAAAGTTTTAATGGGAAGTTTCCTAAAATGCAGACCTTACCAAGCATTTCCTCCAAATGACATTTTTGTTTGCTTTTGGTTGAAAACCAGCTCTAGTTTCAGTGCCCCCCCTTTGGGGTGAATGTGCCTGTTTGTAGGGCAGCACGCCTGTTTACCTGCAGCACACCAAGAGCAGGAATTCTTGCTGTTTCCAATGTAGGTGTTATTTTACATCTGCCCAGGGCAGGGGATTGGAACGAGATGATGATCTTTAAGGTCCTTTCCAACCCAAACCATTGTATGATTTACATGTGCAGCTGTAGCTTGTGCTAGAGCTCACTGGAGCTAGTAACAGGAGTGAGGATGTGGCTGAAGGACCATCATAGTGGTAGATGTACGATGATTTAGTCCACTTGGAAGAATCAAGATGTCTTTGGCTTAACGTGCTGTATCAAGCCAGATACAGAGTTTCTAGGAGCAGAGCCATGCTCAGATCTGGAAAGTTGTTTGAAGAGTTTGTTGCTGCTGGAGCCCAAGGGCCGGTGGGGGCTGGCCAGGAGCAGCACCTCCAGTGCAAGGTCTGCAGGGTCAGCCAGGGAAGGGACCTTTGGAAGGCCTGGCGGAGTTCATTCCAACTTCAGCTGGCTTCTGTTTACTTGAAATGAGTCAGAATCCAAACTTGGAATGAATGGAAGGGTATTTGGTGTGTATGGTTTTCACGCTGGACTTCACGGTGCTCTTTCTCTGAAACGACTTCCCTGTGTGCTCTCCATCCTGAAGCCCATGTTGTGTTCAGAGGAGAACTGGCAGTAGAGGTAGATCTGTGCATGCTGCAAAGTCCTTTCTGAATGTAGTTATGTTTTAAAATACCTTTTAGTAACCTGACTTCTAACTATAGATGTCTCCCAGGTACAGCTGTGAAAAATATAAGCTCTGAAGAAATGTGTAATTTCTACAGGTGTCTAGCAAATACTGCAACTTCAATACTTTGTGTCAGATAAGAGGCATTTATGATTTGGACTGAATTTATTTTT